TTTTGTATACAGCTCATTAGTACTGATCAAAATGCATATAAAAGTGAAAAAATCTGTCACTATGCGACCTCGTAACAAAAGATCGAAATGAGGCTGGAAGCAGAGGAGTAGACAATGAGAGAGCTTCTGGTAGCGCTATATTTGATTATATGCGTTTAGAAGCCAGACGGTATGTAGTCGACGTAACAACTTAAGAAGTATGTAGTCATGCTATCTAGGAGATTGTTGACTGTGGAGGAGGAAGGCGGCCTTTGGCTCAAGGCAGAGGTTGGGAAAGGATGCCCTCTAGGAAGGTCTACTCCCGCTTCTCTTACGCTGTTTGGGACAGAACTGCTTATTAACGGTAGTGAAGAACAACGTTATATTTTATGCAGCAGCGCACAGTGGTTCAAAACTGAAGTTTACTGTTCGTAATTCACTGGAGACTTCATTTTTCAACCAAATTAATTATTATTTTTTGAACAAAAGCTAATACTAATTTTTTTTAATGCAAATTGCAGCAAAAGTAGCAGTTTTGCAGGAAACCGATTCTCCCGTTCCAGTTAATAAATGTTTCAAATTAAAGCTAGTTGAACTCAATTGTAGGGTTCCCCAAAAACAAAAAAACAAAAAACAAAAAATAATAATACAACAAAATTTTAGCTAAATTCATTTTTTTTTGGAGTTTTTACAAAGTTTTGGGTATGCAAAATCATTAATTTTTAGTACATATAACAAAGTGCAAGTTGCATGTGGCTAACAGTTTGCCTTGATTTTTAGTAATTTTTTTCGTTGACATTTTGAGCACATTTGCATGCTAAAATAGAAATATTTTATTAAAAATAAATGAGAACTCCCAGCCACTTGCAAAATGGAACAGGAGAATCGATTTTCTTCAAAATTGCTACTTTTTCTGCACTTTGCACTAAAAAGCTATTATAATCAATAAAAAGCGGGCTCAATTTGTCACTTGCAAATTTTATAAACTTTCATAATAATAATTCATCAATTGAGTGAAAAATTAAGGATCCAGTCAATTATGAACAGTAAATGCCAATTTGAACCACTATGCAGAGTCAAGAAAATTTATAAGGGAGGTCTGTATATGTAAGACTGATATGAAATATTGATAGTAGGATCTTGCTGTCAATTAATGGCAACCCTTGTTACCAATCCGACATATTAAGTCAAAAATCATGGCAATGTTAAAAATACGTGTCTTTTGCTATACACGATTTGAAAACGGTTTTTTTTTTTCAAAATTTTATTCAGGTATTGCTCAGGAGATGCGACCAATAGTTAGGAAATGTTAAGCTTTGCCTAAAACTGAGTACACATTTCGTCTATAAATTAGGTGCTGATGCCTGCCAAAAAAATCCGGCAGAAAATCATATAAATGAAGCCAGTCTAGAAACATGGAATTGCCCCAACACGTACATATGTATATTCTACGCTGAATATCTTTGCATTTAAGTACTATACATATATACGACCATAAACATTTCAACTGTATTACATCAATAGACTATTTGAGCATTTTGACTCAAAGCGTTCTTGACCATTTGACCGCTTAATGCCACTTACTCATCGATAATAATGGCAGATGGTATTTTAAGGGCAAACAGCTTTGGGCGATAAGAGCAAAACATGTGCACTCACATACATACTTACATATAAGAACATGTAGATATGAGCAAAAGTTCATGCGTACTTTTTATCACCCACCAATTGCTCAAGGGTATTGTTAAAGCCTTCAAGAAAAAGTCCAACAAAACCACACATTTATAGCCCTCCAAGGAGAACATACCAACATTGCCCAAAATAAATAGGTAAGCAAATGAAAAGACAAGTAAGAATTTAAGTACTTTGGCTGCCAACGAAAACCAAAAGCCAAGAAGCAAATAAACAAATTTAAAAACCAAAAAAACAAATACCCCTAAGGGTTAACGCAGCAATTAAGTCTTCTGCTGCTCCCTTCGTCGACCATTTACAATTTGCCATGGGGTGTATGTACATACATATGTAAATAGACGCGCATAACGGAAGCGGAAGGGCATTCTCATGAAATTACCGCTTTTAGCCTTAATGAGCTTTCACGCCAAAACGATGTCCTTCGGCAACGATTGTAGTGCACAATCCATCCTACTTAACCATACTCCCTACATACATACATAAACCTCTAACGTCTTCGCTCTAGGCACCAATCGCTCAACCAACCAGCCCAAACAACCAATCAAACAATCAAACTCCTTGACTATCTCACCTCTTAAAGACCCATTGCCGTTGTGTGCACGCAATTACGATAATTATAACGCGATAACAATTGTCGTCGTCCTCGTCTTTGCCCAAGCATTTGCTTTTGCCTTTGCTATCATCGCAATCATTGTCTTTGGTGTTGTTGTAACCTAAATATTTGCATTGATTTGTCTGTTTGTTGATGTCGAGTGGTCGGTCGTTAGCTCGTTGGTTTATTGGTTGGTTGGTTGGTTGCTTAGTTAGCTGGCTGGGTGGCTTGCATTGCTTTTGTCCCTCGCTGTGGCTTACTTCTTTGGCTGTTTATCGTTAGAGTGCTATTCATTCGAATTGCTCAAAGGTAAGCCTACTATGGAATAGCTCATTGCTTTGCAAGTAAGTTGGACTTGTTGTATGCAACAACGAGTACATGTTTACAGTTATTCACTTGTGTAATACAGAGAAATGGCTGCCAGTAAAAGAATGACACACTTAAGTGAAGTCCTTTTTCTTTTTCCAAGCTGCATATTTCATGCTGATGTGCTACAGAAATGGGAGGCAATTTATTATGGAGTTTGTCCCTTTAAGATTTTACAAGACAGTAAGGTGTGCTACTTGTATGTGTTTGGGGAGGGGCAAGATTGGATTTCAATTTGAACCGAATGCAGCCTAACAGGTTTCAGAACTGAATAGCCTTAGAAATTAGATCGAAGATGATTTATTTATTCCCGGAATTGGGGCTACTGATAAGTTAGCTAGTGGGCATTCCACATTAAAGTCACTCGAGTCCTAGATCCTTATTCCATATTTCCGAACAGCATCGTAGGTGGCGAATGGTGTCAAATAGCCAACTGAAAACAGCAACTTTACTTCTGATGCTTTGTAGAATCGTGAGTTCTCTGGTCGACCTGACGAAGCGCATTGGCAGGGGGAATAAGGGGTTACATCGAATGACTAGGAGACCGATAGTGCGTCTCTTACTTTAACCAGCGATGAAGTTTAGATGGCCATCGGAGAGAAATGCGAACCCAAACCCAATGGTATTGACGAATTACGAATGCTGATACTGAAACATTTGGATTAGGCGTGTGTGGACCTACATGACTAAACTAGTAAATTTGATGTTGTCCGCACTCATGATAAGAACGAAATTGTTTCACTCAGCTAAGCTATTTAGAACGAGTTATAGGTGTACAACATGTGACATGAACAACGCTTAAGGCGCACTCGAACATATCCTTTGCAATTATTAAACATTTGGAAAATCGGGACTTGGATTTGCGTATTTCTTCTTACTGATGGATATTTCGGAAATGAGGAAGTTAAGCAGGATGGTGGTATCCTCTCTTCGCTGCTATTCCCAGCCATCGGAGAAGTTTAGTTCATCTTATACGCTGATGACTACAAAATATTATTCGCGCCTTTGTTTGAAAGTAAATGAGTACCTCTTGTAATTTCTCTCTGCGATGCTGCATTTACTCTCCCCCTTTCAAAGCCAAAGGTAACCCTTCCCAAAATCATTCGCCGGCAACACATAGGGCAAAAATAAGGTAAGTTGTTGATGAGATTTTGTACAAGGTCGCAGGCTGGGCGGTTCTAAATTGCGCTACCCCATTTTCAGCACCGAGGATTATGAAAGAAGCTGCAGACCTTTAAGAACATCGCACTCCGAACTACAATGGTACATATTCTAATGTCGAATCAACATAACCTACATTTCCAGGAGTTAATGATCCTCGTCAGGAAATATTATTTTATGCTCCGCTGGCACTTTCTGCCAGACTTCTAATGAAGGCAGCATTCCAACAGCCACTGGCTGGGACAGAACCATATCCATGGTATACCGAAAGGCGTTTCTGGCATCTCCCATCCCATCGCAACTGATCAGCTTTTGTTACTTCCAGTCAATCGCATAACTCGGAGTAACCCGCGTATCGAAGAAAGCAGCAATCCAATCTCTGGTTTAAGTCCAGAAGCCACTAATCTGGCAGAAACTTTTAGTAAAGACAATGAAGCTCAAGGAGCTACAGCTAGACAAGACAGCACACGTCAGTGGCATGAAAAATGGATCAGATCGAGCATACGGGCGAAAATTTCGAGTGACTTACGGCATCCAAAAGGAGGTAAAAGAAACAAATTGGTACAGAAGCACTGATAGAAGACATATAACTGGTAACGATGTGGAAGTTTGGAAACAGCATAACTGACTTAACAAAAATCTGATGGGTCTAAAGTAAACTAGAAAACGTGGCGGCGACAGTTCTTGTGTTCAGCCCATTTGTTTCGAGTTGGCGGAAAGATATCAGGATTGAAGATATAGAGCTTTTGCAATTCCATGACAAAGAAGATCGGGTTTGGTAGAATGTTCCAAGTCGAAACCTTAGACTGGGAGGGCAGATCTACCTGAAATCAACTTTTTTTTGATAATATGCCATACAAATATTTCGAAGAGGGCCAGAGTTATCCTTAAAATAGTGGCATTTGTAATTGTTTTCGTTCGTAAGCTTCTTTTAAGACCTTGACAATAAAAGAAGAGAGAAATTTTGAGAAGCTGCACATAGCTTTTGAATGCTAATTCCTAGAACCGTAAAATGCGCACTTTGTCGAACATCTTCCTTGCTTTAATTTTCTACTTCGACTTTTATGCTTTTTGCTTTTTATGAATTTAAGATGCTATGTGACTAAAATTGCACACATATTTGTAAGTGTGGCTGCATGATAAATATAAGTACATTCAAATGATTTGCTATATTTATGAAATTCAAAGAGTAGTGGAAATTAGTACTTACTCTGCCCTAATCGTAATTTCATTGCCCGTATTCACCGGTGTCTCCAGCTCACTCAACAGCATCGTTTGCAAGCCGCAAGAGAATTGGAATTGCAGTAAACCCTTTTGCAGGAACAACGCCATATAATGACCGCCCTTGGTGCCCTGAGCAGCGGCCAGCATTATCAGACCATTTGTGGCACGTGTGCGCACCTTCAGTTGTACATGCATCGGCAGCACCGAATCCAATGACTCATGATGTGGTATGTCCTTGTGGATGCGGTGCGACACATATGAATCGCCGGAGAAGGCCGCATTTTTGATGATGATGGGTAACTCGCACAGTGCACCTTGGCGGTCAAAGCGGCAAACGCACTGCAATAAGAAAATTAAAAACAGTAAAAAATTAAGTGAATAAATTTACATTTATATATAAAAAAAATTGTTGCCAAAAATAAATTATGCGGTTGCGTAAGAAGAGCGCTTGGTTCAGCGGCAAATTCAACGGTACCGAGATTTGAATTTACACTTAACTAAACTTTTCTGAAGTTATTTAAAGTTCTTTGTAAGTACTTTAGCTAAAACTTTGACTTAACTGCAACATTTCAGCGCCCGTTGATATTCCCCAAGTGCATACATTAGGATGCACCCATACATACACACATTCGAATGGATATGTATAAAATCAGTAACTGGTATGTGGAAGGTAGCATTGATTGCATTTTGAGCAGGGTTCTCTCTCTAAAGCCCATATGTACATACATACTCGTACATACGTATGTACTTATGTGTAAATGCCGCTTAGTAACAGTTACAGCAAAGCTGGTAAGGCTGATATGGATGTCGCAGTATCAATGAAATGAACTTGTATTTCAGACCTTATACGCTATTGACACCATTACCTAAGGAGCGCCTACATTTGTGCTACAAATTACATGCATACATACATATTTCGCGCATCCCATTTTCTATTGCTTTTCGAATCCGCGAAGGGAATTGTGTACGCCATAGAATTATTAAAAATTTCATCTATGACCTAGAAATTATGATTTTAGAGATAATCTTAAAACTTTTGCTGAAAAAAATTATTTAATGCTTACTAAGAATAAAATATTATGGGAAAGAATTAGTCCTGCAGCGAGCCTGTGTGAGTATGTTCGTTGCTCTTTCACCGTAAACCGGCTTAATGAGTTTTGTTCAAGTTTGGGGCTCAAATAGGCTATATAATCTGGATTCAAACATAGGATATTTTCTAACAGAGTTGCCACCTTAAAAATTTAAAATTAATCAATTATTAAGTGAATTAAAATATTTCAACGGTGTAAATGTCAAACGAAGGGGTTTCCAAATGATTTATTTCGAAAATATTTTTTAAGGTGGTTGCCACTTGGTTAGAAATTCAAATCATTTTTAATTAACAAGTTAATTGACAGGCATCAAGCGACAGACATTTAATAAAGCTTTATTTAAAAATATTTTAGAAAAGTATTGCGATTAAAGCGATTCAAAATCGATTTAAATACAAACTTAAACGAATTATTGTAATATAGGCATGACGCGAAAGAAGGTGTAGTGAGGATGCTTTTAAAAGCTTTATTTCGAAACTATTTTTACATGAGGGCTGCCACCTGCTATACATAGATTTTAATAGAAAAAGTTAAAGAAAGGCTTATTTTGTATGTAAATTTTTAAAAAGTGTTGCTACCTGTTTAGAAATACCGAATAAATTTAATTGATAGGTTATAGAGAGTCGTATTTCGACAATATTTTTGAATAGGGTTGCCACCTATTTATTATCACGAAATAAATTAAATGTATAAGTTAAATGAAACATTTTAATATGAGTTTCAAATGAGGAAGGTTTCAGTAAGCTTTCTTTGGAAAATATTTTTAAAGAGGGTTGTTACCTGTTTTAAAAGTTAAATGTAACTTAGCTAATCAGTTACTTGACATATCACTTCGAGTACCCTACATATTTACATCAAGTTATTTTGGGTGCATTTTATAATGGCTTCATAAGGCATACTTTTCAGTTATAAATAATGAGTACAGCTCAATAACAACTTTCGGAAGATCGGACCTACTTCGGGATTTTCGGAACTATATCAGGATTTTCGGGATTATAAGGACTATTTCGAGGTTTATAGATGCTTTGGGCTCCCGGGACTATTTCGGGGTTTTCAAGACTAAATATATCGATAAGTATATCGATAAAAAACATCAATAAATATATACATAGATAAATATATCCATAAAAGCGTCGATTATTATATCGATAAATGCAGCTAGTGCAAATCCGAAAACTTCGGAATTGTTTTAAAAATCCTGATTAATTCTCGAGAATTCGGAAAATCTCCAAAATACCGAAATAGTTCCCAAAATGAAGAGGTGAGTAAAAGTTTTTCCGCCACTATTCTAACCTTACTTATGCCCATCACTGGTATATCCATGTTTCATCTGTGTGCGTGTTTGTGTATAAGATGGCTTATTTAGTTTGTCAACAAATGTATTTGTCTGCGGCTTCACAAAAAGTTGCCAAACTTTCTAATTATATGATTGCCATTGTTACCCGCGTGTATGCGACTATTTACTTATGTATGTATGTATTGTGTCCTAATTAGGCATATGGTAAATAAACAATGAAAAATTCTTTAATGACACACTAATTTGAGCTACAACCGAAATGAGATGTATTTAAATACACTTGGACATATGTTTTGCATGCCGGTAAAGCAATATGTAGATTTGTAAGTATGTATTTTTAATCAGAAAATTGTTTTTCAATACAGTCTAAGTGGCGGTTGAGTAGCTTTTAGTAGTCAAATTGAAACTACCATCAAAGTTTGTGTGGGATTTTGTGTATGCTTATAAAGTTAGTTGGCGATAAAATGATGGCAAAACTTTTGCCACTTTTTTGTTTCGCGGGACAACCAATGCGTATACGTAACTAAGCTGGATTGGGTGCTCCGACGTTGTGACATACTTACATACGAATCTAGAGTAGGTAGCTCAAGTAATGTATGACGCGAGAGATGACGCAAACTCTTGCTTGCATATATTTTTATCTAGATAGGAGTGCATGCGTGTTTGTATGTGCTCCAAAGGATTTAGGTGTGTCTCCTATTCTTATCACCTGTGCGAACTGCGCTGTTTTTAGTGATCTTAAAATTATTATATCCATATAAAATTGCATGCATATATTTGTATGTGCATAGTTATGCTTCTGAGTGAACGTAACAAAAGTTTAAACTATTCAATTTTCCAATTAAGCTTGATTCCATAAACTTCTTTTTATATGTATGTATACATAAGCAGAATTGAATTGCACAAACAGAGCATTTAGTCGGTACATGAATTATATAAAATTTGATTAATAACTTTTAATAGCTCATTTCATAGTTGATGGAGTGTATAAACCATTTTGCCAGAGCCATG